TGGTAGCTGGTTGCTGGTTGCTGGGGGGTGGGGGGTGGTTGCTGACCACGGGGGTTAGGTCAAGGGTTGTCCTTAAGGACAAGCGTTGACCTAGCTGCCCGGTGAACGGGTGGTTAGGTGCAGTGTTGACCTTGTTGTTGTTGCTGTCGTCGTTGTCGTCGTCGTCGTCGTCGTTTTTGTTTGTTGTTGTTGTTGTTGTTGCTGTTGCTGTTGCTGTTGCTGTTGCTGTTGCTGTTGCTGTTGTCCTCGTCGTCGTCGTCGTCGTCGTTGTTGTTGTTGTTGTGGTTGTTGTTGTTGTTGTGATTGTTGTGTCGTTGTCGTCGTCGTCGTCGTTGTCGTCGTCGTCGTTGTCGTTGTTGTTGTTGTTGTTTCGTTGTTGTTGTTGTGATTGTTGTTGTTGTTATTGAATATTATTACTTCTAAAGAAATATTATTGTTGAGACCCCTGGTGCGCGACCCCCCTCCAAAACCTAGGCCGCAGCCTCATTTCCTTCATTTTCTAGCGAAAGCTTCAGAAAAGTGGATTGTCACCGGATCCGGTTGTTTTGTTGTAATCCGTTTTCCCTTGCAAAAAACACTATAAAATGAAAATTCTTGTTCTTACTTGATCAAATTGCAAGAATCCCTTGCAAAAAATAAGGTAAAGTGGACATTCGTGCGCGCAAGACGAAATCCTTCCAAAACCTTAGGTTTCGTAACGATTTTAACATAAAAACATCAAAAACCCAATGGTTTTTTAAGAAAAAATTGTCAAAATGTCCTTCCGCGCGCGCTGTCCGAATCCCACAAAACCAATGGTTTTTCAACATTTATGTTACATGAGCTCGCGCGAGCTACTTTTTCTTGTTCTAACATAATCAAATTTCAATAATCCCTTGCAAAAAATAAGGTAAAGTGGACATTCGCGCGCGCAAGACGAAATCCTTCCAGAACCTTAGGTTTCGTAACGATTTCAACATAAAAACATCAAAAACCCAATGGTTTTTCAAAAAAAAATGTCCAAATTTCATCCCGCGCGCGCTGTCCGACTCCCACAAAACCAATGGTTTTTCAACATTTATGTTACATGAGCTCGCGCGAGCTACTTTTTCTTGTTCTAACATAATCAAATTTCAATTCCCTTGCAAAAAAAAGTAAAGTGGACATTCGCGCGCGCAAGACCAACAAAAAACACGACGATCTCAGGAACTTGCCCCAAAAATGTGACCAACTCCGCTCTCTCTGTCTCTCTCTCTGTCTGCTCTCTGTCTCTCTCTCTGTCTGTCTGTGTCATGTATTGTATGTCACAATTGCAGGATGCTGGGCACACGCGCGCCCCGAATAAGTGACCAAGTTCTGTGGGTGTGTACCCCACGCCAGTGTAGTAGCCACGGTCGTCCGCACGCCACGAAGTGAAGTGTCCCAACGTCATAGGGCGGGAAGCTGGGTTTGGGTGGTCGCGAAGAGTCGTTTGGATATTTGGTAGAGCTTGAACTGCCCCCCCACGAAGTGGGGGTATTGTCTCGCGTCGCATGAAAACCCTGGCACTGGTGAGAACACTGAGCGTTCGGGTAAAATGATTGTTGCTATTGTTGTTGTTGCTGTTCTGTTGTGGTTGTGGTTGCTGTTGCTATTGTTGTTGTTGTTGTTGTTGTTGTTGTTGTCGTCGTCGTCGTCGTCGTCGTCGTCGTCGTCGTGTTGTTGTTGTTGTTGTTGTTGTTGTTGTTGAACATTATTAATTCTAAAGAATAATTATTGTTGGGCCCCCTGGTGCACGCCCCCCCCCCCGCGCCTAGGCCGCAGCCACATTTTCATAATTTTCGTGAGGAAGTCTCAGGTAAAACGATGTCATCCAGATCCGGTTGTTTTGTTGACGCCCGCTTTCCCTGTCAAAAAACACTATAAAATGACATGTCTTGTTCTAACATAACCAAACTTCAAGAATCCTTTGCAAAAAATGACACGAAGTGCACACTCGCGCGCGCAAGATGAAATCCTTCCAAAACCTTAGTTTTCGTAGCGATTTTAACATAAAAACATGAAAAACCCAATGGTTTTTCAAAAAAAAGTTTCAAAAAATCATCTTGCGCGCTCTTGCGGATTTCTGAGGAAACCCAATATTTTTTCAACATTTCTGTCAAACGGGCTCTTGCGAGCAACTTTTTCACGTGCTTCGAACTTCTGCAACAACGGTTGCGCGCATGCCAGGGCCATCATCCCTGTCAAATAATACCATATTGGACACATTCGTTTTTTCTTCGCGCGCGCACGCCGTCGTCGTCGGCCGCGGGGCCCTGAATAGTAGCCACGGTCGTCCGCATGCCACGAAGTGAAGTGTCCGAACGTCATAGGGCGGGAAGCTGGGTGTGGGTGGTGGCGAAGAGTCGTATGGAAATTTGGTAGAGCTTGAACCGGCCCCCCCACAAAGTGGGGGTATTGCCCGCCTCCTATGAAAACCCTGGCACTGGTGAGAACGGAGTGTCCCCAGTCTTAAATGATTGTTGTTGTTGTTGTTGTTGTTGTTGTTGTTGCTGCTGCTGCTGCTGCTGTTGTTGTTGCTGCTGCTGCTGCTGCTGCTGCTGTTGTTGTTGTTGTTGTTGTTGAACATTATTCCTTCTAAAGAATTATTATTGTTGGGACCCCTGGTGCGCGACCTCTGCGCCGCGCCTAGGCCGCAGCTACATTTTCATCATTTTTTCGCGAAAGCTTCAGAAAAGTGGATGAGCTCCGGATCCGGTTTTTTGTTGACGCTCGTTTTCCCTTGCAAAAAACAATAGAAAATGAAAATTCTTGTTCTTACTTGATCAAATTGCAAGAATCCCTTGCAAAAAATAAGGTAAAGTGGACATTCGTGCGCGCAAGACGAAATCCTTCCAAAACCTTAGGTTTCGTAACGATTTTAACATAAAAACATCAAAAACCCAATGGTTTTTTAAGAAAAAATTGTCAAAATGTCCTTCCGCGCGCGCTGTCCGAATCCCACAAAACCAATGGTTTTTCAACATTTATGTTACATGAGCTCGCGCGAGCTACTTTTTCTTGTTCTAACATAATCAAATTTCAATAATCCCTTGCAAAAAATAAGGTAAAGTGGACATTCGCGCGCGCAAGACGAAATCCTTCCAGAACCTTAGGTTTCGTAACGATTTCAACATAAAAACATCAAAAACCCAATGGTTTTTCAAAAAAAAATGTCCAAATTTCATCCCGCGCGCGCTGTCCGACTCCCACAAAACCAATGGTTTTTCAACATTTATGTTACATGAGCTCGCGCGAGCTACTTTTTCTTGTTCTAACATAATCAAATTTCAATACTCCCTTGCAAAAAAAAGTAAAGTGGACATTCGCGCGCGCAAGACCAACAAAAAACACGACGATCTCAGGAACTTGCCCCAAAAATGTGACCAACTCCGCTCTCTCTGTCTCTCTCTCTGTCTGCTCTCTGTCTCTCTCTCTGTCTGTCTGTGTCATGTATTGTATGTCACAATTGCAGGATGCTGGGCACACGCGCGCCCCGAATAAGTGACCAAGTTCTGTGGGTGTGTACCCCACGCCAGTGTAGTAGCCACGGTCGTCCGCACGCCACGAAGTGAAGTGTCCCAACGTCATAGGGCGGGAAGCTGGGTTTGGGTGGTCGCGAAGAGTCGTTTGGATATTTGGTAGAGCTTGTAACTGCCCCCCCACGAAGTGGGGGTATTGTCTGGCGTCGCATGAAAACCCTGGCACTGGTGAGAACACTGAGCGTTCGGGTAAAATGATTGTTGTTGTTGTTGAATATTTATTCCTTCTAAAGAATTAATTATTGTTGGGACCCCTGGTGCGCGACCTCCCCGCGCCTAGGCCGCAGCTACATTTTCATCATTTTTTCGCGAAAGCTTCAGAAAAGTGGATTATGTCCGGATCCGGTTTTTTGTTACGTTGCGTTTTCCCTTGCAAAAAACACTATAAAATGAAAATTCTTCTTCTTACTTGATCAAATTTCAAGAATCCCTTACAAAAAATGAGGTAAAGTGGACATTCGCGCGCGCAAGACGAAATCCTTCCAAAACCTTAGGTTTCGTAACGATTTTAACATAAAAACATCAAAAACCCAATGGTTTTTTAAGAAAAAAATGTCAAAATGTCCTTCCGCGCGCGCTGTCCGAATCCCACAAAACCAATGGTTTTTCAACATTTATGTTACATGAGCTCGCGCGAGCTACTTTTTCTTGTTCTAACATAATCAAATTTCAATAATCCCTTGCAAAAAATAAGGTAAAGTGGACATTCGCGCGCGCAAGACGAAATCCTTCCAGAACCTTAGGTTTCGTAGCGATTTCAACATAAAAACATCAAAAACCCAATGGTTTTTCAAAACAAAATGTCCAAATTTCATCCCGCGCGCGCTGTCCGACTCCCACAAAACCAATGGTTTTTCAACATTTATGTTACATGAGCTCGCGCGAGCTACTTTTTCTTGTTCTAACATAATCAAATTTCAATACTCCCTTGCAAAAAAAAGTAAAGTGGACATTCGCGCGCGCAAGACCAACAAAAAACACGACGATCTCAGGAACTTGCCCCAAAAATGTGACCAACTCCGCTCTCTCTGTCTCTCTCTCTGTCTGCTCTCTGTCTCTCTCTCTGTCTGTCTGTGTCATGTATTGTATGTCACAATTGCAGGATGCTGGGCACACGCGCGCCCCGAATAAGTGACCAAGTTCTGTGGGTGTGTACCCCACGCCAGTGTAGTAGCCACGGTCGTCCGCACGCCACGAAGTGAAGTGTCCCAACGTCATAGGGCGGGAAGCTGGGTTTGGGTGGTCGCGAAGAGTCGTTTGGATATTTGGTAGAGCTTGAACTGCCCCCCCACGAAGTGGGGGTATTGTCTCGCGTCGCATGAAAACCCTGGCACTGGTGAGAACACTGAGCGTTCGGGTAAAATGATTGTTGTTGTTGTTGTTGTTGTTGTTGTTGTTGTTGTTGTTGTTGTTGTTGTTGTTGTTTTGTTTTATTTGTTATTCCTTCTTCTCTGCCCCCAGGAGCACCCGCGCAGCGCCGGGGAGCTCGCGGTGGCCCTTGGCAGGAGGCAGTCAGGGGCCCGACGCCTGCCACCCACCCCTCAGGGCCAGGGCCCCGGGGTCCAAAGGCTGCAGGCGTTTCCGTGGGCTCCAGGCGGCCGTTCCAGCCTCGGGACGCCCTCCGGTGCTCAAGCAGCTGCACCTCGCCGAGGGCGCTCTGGGCGCCCGGATCGTTCTGACTGGCTGCCGCAGAGGCGAGCCACGACCCGAAGCCCAAGGGGCACTGCTGGGGAGGAGTGGGCTCCAGGGGGAAGCATCGGCCCCCCGGTTCCTCGCCCTCCCCTCCCCCGGGGGCCTGGGCCCACTCATCCATCGCCCATCGGGGCCTGGCCCCCCCCCCCCCCTCCGCACTCCGCCCATGATCGTGCGGTTTCGCTACCTGGGGCCGATCGCTGGTCGTTGCGCCCGCCCCGCTGGGCCAGTTCGCCTCCTGTCGACCCGCCGGAGGCAGTCCAGTCTGGCCGCGCAGATGAATGTGCGCCGCCTGCCGCGCCTCGCCGCCCAGCTCGACTTCGCGAGGAAGCTGGGCATGGATGACCTAGTCGAGCACACCAGCAGCATCGTTTGGATCGGCCACTCGCCGGGGTCGTTCCACGACGACTTCGCGGACAACGTGGTGGTCCAGCTCACCGGGACCGCCACGTTCATCATATTCCCCGCGCAGTGCGCGTGGCTCCTGAAGAAGAGCGTCGGGAGAAACAGGACGCTCGCGGGTCACGCGGGCCCTCTGCAGTGGGTGCGGAGGGGCATGAAGCGCGGCAAGGGCCGGGCGCCGTTCTACCACGTGGCGCTGAAGCCCGGCGATGGGCTGGCGGTGCCCAGCACCAGCATGCACAAGGTGATCTCTCGCGACAGCAGGCGCCTCGCCCTCAACGCGTTCTTCGAGGCAAGGCCTGGGAGGATGCAGTGGCCGGGCGCGCCGGCCAACGCCTTCTACCGCCACGACCAGAGCGCCTTGGCCATGAGAAACTTGTGGATCAAGACGCTGAGGTATCTGTGGGAGTCCCGGGAGGTTGCCATCGCGATGCACACGGAGAGGATAGAGCTGATCCGAAGAAGGCGAAAACAGCACAACCATCAGCTTTCGGAGGTCCGCGCGGACTTCTTGGACTGGCGCTGGACCCACCCTTCACCTCGAAGAGTAACAGAGAAGCAAACAAAGAAAAAACGGAGCGGCAACGCATCGAGTAGGGAATCAGCTACATACTCGATTTGCCCCAACCTTCTGCGAAACATAAATACCATGCTCCTCACACCAACGGAGGCTTGTACATGTATTTGTTCGATAGGTTCGGCGGGAAAATCAAGTTGGAGGTAAATCGATTCTGTGGTCGCTCCCCTACTCGAATGCAGATATGTCAGGAGGGGAAAAAACATAGACACAAGTCATCGTCGATTCCCCAGGAAATATAGGAAAATATGGGAAGTGGGGGGGGAGACAAAAACCCAGAAAAGATTGGGAATCCTGGGTGTGTATTTATTTGTGTGTCCTTGTGCCCCTTGAATATGCTGCATTTTGGTTCCTCGTCCTCTGTTATTGGGCACTTCTGGCGTCTCCGGCGTCCAGTCGCCGACCCACACGTGCTCACCGCACCCCTCTGTCGCGGGGGCCTGGCACCGATCCCGAGAAGAGATCCGCGCGGACGCCCCCTGAGATACGACGCTTCGACAAAATTCGAAGAAGAAAAGTCCACATACACACATTTTTTATTATTGAATTATTTTTTGTATTTTTTTGGTTTGTTTTTTCCTCTACAAACGCAACATCTTTATTCGACGGTCGTTGAAGCTAGGTATTTCTGGCATTCCCAGATCCCAATATACTTCAGGCGCCATCCCACTTCAAGAGTCGATGTGCTTTTGCCGTGCCTTGTTGTTCCCTGGGAGAGCCTGGGCCCACTCTACCTTATCCGCCTTCCTGCTTCCTGTTTTTACTTAACTTCCGACCGACGTGTAAACCACTCGACTGGAGTCCCGGACCTCCCATCTCTCTGCTGCATTTCTCGAGCGTCGACGCCGCGAAATCCGTGCGGACCTCCCCCGAGAGCCGACGCGTGGAGAGACACACAACATCGCAGAAGAGCTCGACCCGAGCCCTCGACCCCGTTTTTCTGCTGCACGCCTCGAGCCCGATCGATCCGCGAGGGCCCCCGGGCCCAAACGATGCAAAGTCGCCCGCTGCGGAACAGATGCGACGCCAGGTCGTCGTTTTCTTACTCATTGTTTTGCCGATCGGCGCGGGCCCTCACACCCTCCCTCCCCCCTCCATGGAGTAGATCTTGGCTGTTTTCGGCGCCTGTTTCGAGCAGGTGGAGTCTGCCCCATAGGACGCACTGTTCCGAACCGTCGCAATAAGCAGAGGTCCAGAGCCAGACCCCCCCTTCTCCCCCCCCCTCGCCACTTGTCGAGACGCCGAAGACGAGAACGTTCAGCAGGATCTCAGGGGTTGCCGTTCGCCGAC